ATGAGTTGAACTCTTCAGGGAACTCAATCCTGGCCTCTAGGCACCTCGTGTGAACTTTTGAGCAAATTTGGTGAAGTTGGATTTTTGGGTCAAAAACTGACTTTTCTTATGATGCCGACTATGAAAAACGTTGAAGTTTTGGGGGCATTTTGTAAAAAATCTAAAATTGTTCTTTTCTCACTAGATACTGAATGTAATGAGTTGAACTCTTCAGGGAACTCAATCCTGGCCTCTAGGCACCTCGTGTGAACTTTTGAGCAAATTTGATGAAGTTGGATTTTTGGGTCAAAAAACGACTTTTTTGATGATGCCGGCTATGGAAAACGTTGAAGTTTTGGGGGCATTTTGTAAAAAATCTAAAATTGGTCTTTTCTCACTGGATACTGAATGTAATGAGTTGAACTCTTCAGGGAATTCCATTCTGGCCTCTAGGCACCTCGTGTGAACTTTTGAGCAAATTTGGTGAATTTGGATTTTTGGGTCAAAAACTGACTTTTTTTATGATGCCGGCTATGGAAAACGTTGAAGTTTTGGGGGCATTTTGTAAAAAATCTAAAATTGTTCTTTTCTCACTAGATACTGAATGTAATGAGTTGAACTCTTCAGGGAACTCAATCCTGGCCTCTAGGCACCTCGTGTGAACTTTTGAGCAAATTTGTTGAAGTTGGATTTTTGGGTCAAAAACTGACTTTTTTTATGATGCCGGCTATGGAAAACGTTGAAGTTTTGGGGGCACTTTGTAAAAAATCTAAAATTGGTCTTTTCTCACTAGATACTGAATGTAATGAGTTGAACTCTTCAGGGAACTCAATCCTGGCCTCTAGGCACCTCGTGTGAACTTTTGAGCAAGTTTGGTGCAGTTGGATTTTTGGGTCAAAAACTGACTTTTTTTTATGATGCCGGCTATGGAAAACGTTGAAGTTTTGGGGGAATTTTGTAAAAAATCTAATTTTGTTCTGATCTCACTGGATACTGAATGTAATGAGTTGAACTCTTCCGGGAATTGAATTCTGGCCTCTAGGCACCTCGTGTGAACTTTTGAGCAAATTTGGTGAAGTTGGATTTTTGGGTCAAAAACTGACTTTTTTCATGATGCCGGCTATGGAAAACGTTGAAGTTTTGGGGGCATTTTGTAAAAAATCTAAACTTGTTCTTTTCTCATTGGATACTGAATGTAATGAGTCGAACTCTTCCGGGATTTCAATTCTGGCCTCTAGGCACCTCGTGTGAACTTTTGTGCAAATTTGTGAAGTTGGATTTTTGGGTCAAAACCGACTTTTTTTATGATGCCGGCTATGGAAAACGTTGAAGTTTTGGGGGCAATTTGTAAAAAATCTAAAATTCGTCTTTTCTCACTAGATACTGAATGTAATGAGTTGAACTCTTCTGGGAATTGAATTCTGGCCTGTAGGCACCTCGTGTGAACTTTTGAGCAAATTTGGTGAAGTTGGATTTTTGGGTCAAAAACCGACTTTTTTTATGATGCCGCTATGGAAAACGTTGAAGTTTTGGGGGCATTTTGTAAAAAATCTAAACTTGTTCTTTTCTCATTGGATACTGAATGTAATGAGTTGAACTCTTCCGGGAATTCAATTCTGGCCTCTAGGCACCTCGTGTGAACTTTTGTGCAAATTTGGTGAAGTTGGATTTTTGGGTCAAAAACTGACTTTTTTATGATGCCGGCTATGGAAAACATTGAAGTTTTGGGGGCATTTTGTAAAAAATCTAAAATTGGTCTTTTCTCACTAGATACTGAATGTAATGAGTTGAGCTCTTCAGGGAACTCAATCCTGGCCTCTAGGCACCTCGTGTGAACTTTTGAGCAAATTTGGTGAAGTTGGATTTTTGGGTCAAAAACTGACTTTTTTTATGATGCCGGCTATGGAAACGTTGAAGATTTGGGGGCATTTTGTAAAAAATCTAAAATTGGTCTTTTCTCACTAGATACTGAATGTAATGAGTTGAACTCTTCAGGGAACTCAATCCTGGCCTCTAGGCACCTCGTGTGAACTTTTGAGCAAATTTGATGAAGATGGATTTTTGGGTCAAAAACTGACTTTTTTTATGATGCCGGCTATGGAAAACATTGAAGTTTTGGTGGGCATTTTGTAAAAAATCTAAAATTGGTCTTTTCTCACTGGATACTGAATGTAATGAGTTGAACTCTTCAGGGAATTCCATTCTGGCCTCTAGGCACCTCGTTGTGAACTTTTGAGCAAATTTGGTGAAGTTGGATTTTTGGGTCAAAAACTGACTTTTTTTATGATGCCGGCTATGGAAAACGTTGAAGTTTTGTGGGCATTTTGTAAAAAATCTAAACTTGTTCTTTTCTCACTGGATACTGAATGTAATGAGTTAAACTCTTCCGGGAATTGAATTCTGGCCTGTAGGCACCTCGTGTGAACTTTTGAGCAAATTTGGTGAAGTTGGATTTTTTGGTCAAAAACTGACTTTTTTTTATGATGCCGGCTATGGAAAACGTTGAAGATTTGGGGGCATTTTGTAAAAAATCTAAAATTGTTCTTTTCTCACTGGATACTGAATGTAATGAGTTGAACTCTTCAGGGAATTCAATTCTGGCCTCTAGGCACCTCGTGTGAACTTTCGAGCAAATTTGATGAAGTTGGATTTTTGGGTCAAAAACTGACTTTTTCGATGATGCCGTCTATGGAAAACGTTGAAGTTTTGGGCATTTTGTAACAAATCTAAAATTGTTTTTTGTCACTTTATACTGAATGTAATGAGTTGAACTCTTCAGGGAATTCAATTCTGGCCTCTAGGCACCTCATGTGAACTTTTGAGCAAATTTGATGAAGTTGGATTTTTGGGTCAAAAACTGACTTTTTCGATGATGCCGGCTAAGGAAAACGTTGAAGTTTTGGGACATTTGGTAAAAAATCTAAAATTGTTCTTTTCTCACTGGATACTGAATGTAATGAGTTGAACTCTTCAGGGAATTCAATTCTGGCCTCTAGGCACCTCGTGTTAACTTTTGAGCAAAATTGATGAAGTTGGATTTTTGGGTCAAAAAGTGTCTTTTTTGATGATGCCGGCTATGGAAAACGTTGATGTTTTGGGGCATTTGTAACAAATCTAAAATTGTTCTTTTCTCACTGGATACTGAATGTAATGAGTTGAACTCTTCAGGGAATTCCATTCTGGCCTCTAGGCACCTCGTGTGAACTTTTGAGCAAATTTGATGAAGTTGGATTTTTGGGTCAAAAACTGACTTTTTCGATGATGCCGGCTATGGAAAACGTTGAAGTTTTGGGTGCATTTTGTGAAAAATTTAAAATTGTTCTTTTCTCACTGGATACTGAATGTAATGAGTTGAACTCTTCAGGGAATTTAATTTTGCCTTATAGGCACCTCGTGTGAACTCGGAAATCGGACACGACGTTGTGTGTCGCGGGAACAGCAGTGGCCAATCTCCATATGGTTTCGTCAACGTCCGCAAAAGGAGAACACTTAATGAATGAAATCACAACTAGCATCAAAACAGCTCGAATGCATGTGATCGCAAAAGTGGACCCCAAAATTCGTTTTCCCACGCATAATGCAGGAATAACACAAAACCGCCCAGTTTTAAAAGTATAGTTGTGTGGACATTTATAACCTACTTTTAAATGTTCGTTCCTATTGACATGATCTCGTTCAGAGCGCGTTTTGTAGCCAAATTGGGCTGTTAAAGGACCCAGTGTCCCTTTTCAAGTTACAAACTGGAAAAGTCACTAGATGTGTTTGGCATCATCTAAATAGTTCGCTAAGAAGTAAGAATACATGTTGGAAAAGAGTTCCCTACCTGGACATCACTTGTCACCATGGTCACCCCCTGCACAAACCAGTATGAGGCTGGTCTGAAAATGTCTAAGTGTTTTCTCAGTACCGCGTAAATGCTTCAAAATATTTTTTCTGCAAAATTTGACTTTTTAGGACATACTTTCACTTTCTGGGCTGATAGGTCACTGCAGGGAAAAATTAGTGATGTCCAGTTAGGGAACTCTTTCCACATAACATGTTTAATATCAGCTTGCTTAATTTTGTGGCAAGAGGGTAGAGTTTTCATTTATGAATGGAACTTGTTAAATATCAGTAGAGGTGTCCTAATAAACTATCTGGGTGAGTTGAGCACATGTATTTTTTTTAAGTACATGTAGAAGGAATTTTTCTATTTTGCCCACGGTTTACTATTTTGGAGATTACATTATGCTCATTTGTTAAAAATCTAAATAATAGTCAAAAGCAGAAAATTGTTTTCCTGATTCAGGAGCAATAGTTAAAACTGGTTGGTTTAACACTTCTCAGTGGTATTTAAACAGTGTTCTGTTCATGTTGAGGACTCAAACAGGAGCATTCTGTTTATTTTGGTCTCACTACAATATGTGTTTAGCATTGGTTCATGCCCATCGTTTAGGATCATGTTAGACACTTTAAAGGGAATGTACATCATTTGCTTTTGCTTCCATTTTCAGAAATAAATGGATTTGGAGGATTAGTATGTTATAGAAATATTGTTAAACTGACTTGTTTCATATTTTGGGCTTGTAGATGCTGGAAAAAGCAAGAAAACCTATCATGTTCTTGTAGTCTGGTTCCCTGATCCCACTAAGATGAAACGGAGCAATTAATACACTTTGGGGAATTGTAAGGTCAAAGAATCTGTCTAGCAGGCTTGTACCCTTTACAGGTATGTAATCAATTGCAAAGAAAAGTCAGAATAACTAAATATGAAAAATTAAGAACAAGTTTTGAAAAAAGCCAGTTTTCTCCAGCGCTGGTCGGCCGACCAGCATTTGAAAAATACAGGTTTTCTTGAAAATGTCAGCACACCAGGAGCCACGATTTTATAGGATGCTTTAGACTGTCATTCCCTAACAATCCAGTAAGGTATTTTGTGATAATTTGACCATTTCTTTTTTTGATGTTTGCAAATGTTGTATTTTCCCTTTAACAGTATTTGCATTGTTCTATCCTTGTTCATTGTAATTTTGTACAGGACATAGACTGGAGGAGATCAGAGTGAGGGCACTGCGTAATATCCTGAGTAAGCTTGAGCATGATCTAATCTGTGAGGCAGATCTGGTGCAACATCGGCAGTTGCACATACACCTGCTGGAATGGTTCAATCATGACAAGTGCTCACACCAGCTTGAGGTTCTGCAACTCATCAAACAGCTGACAAAGGTACGTCATATGATTTGCCACCAGAGTTGTAACGAGTCACTGATATTTGTGACTCGAGTCGAGTCAAGTCATTTTAAAGAAGTGACTTGAGTCGAGTCAAGTCACTAAAAGGTCAAGAAGGTTGAGTTGAGTCAAGTCAATATTTAGCTCGAGTCAATTTGAGTCAATATTTAGCTCGAGTCAATTCGAATCAATATTTAGCTCGAGTAAATTCGAGTCAATATTTAGCTCGAGTCAATTCGAGTCAATATTTAGCTCGAGTCAATTCGAGTCAATATTTAGCTTGAGTCAATTCGAGTCACGAATATTTGAACACTGTATGAATATTTGAGCAACAACATCAACAATGACTTAAGGTGCCTGCAGATCAATGCCAGTCTCATCTGACAGCTGACAAAGGTACGTCATATGATTTGCCACCAGAGTTGTAACGAGTCACTGGTATTTGTGACTCGAGTTGAGTCGAGTCATTTTAAAGAAGTGACTTGAGTCGAGTCAAGTCATTAATAGGTTAAGAAAGTTGAGTTGAGTCGAGTCAATATTTAGCTCGAGTCAATTCAAGTCAGTATTTAGCTCGAGTCTGTATTTAGTATTATTTAAATTATTTAAAAGTGGGCATTTGTCTATTTAATTTTTAAAAGGAGGGCATGAATTTAGCTGGTGCTCGAATCAGGGCTCGATTTACCCGGGTGCACGCATGCACCAGTGCATGTAGATTTTTGCTTGTGCACGTAGCTTTTTACTGAGCATGCACAACGTGCATGTAAATTTTTTAGCCGCCAAAATACTCATTTCATGCATATATTTACTGTTTACAAATGAGTGAGAATAAGAATAAAGTTGGTTGAATACTTGACCAGATAGTGTACAAACGTGTTATTTCTTTTATATATCCATAAATTATTACTCGCGGCAGATTCAGAGTACGCGGTAGAATTTGGCAAGATCGTCCTGCAACCGCCTCCGATCATGCACGTGATTTACCACGTGATACATGTCGCTGATAACTTGGTATCGCACTGACGCTCCGGGCATTCCATATGTCCCGATCATAAGTGTGATTCCAAATTATTAGCGGCGTTTATCACGTGGTCTCGTTATTGGCCAATCGGACGCCGCTTATCATATGCCCCACATGAAGCAGACGGGTAGTTCGGAGGACTCCGATAATTTTGCACGCAAATGACCCTGGGTACTTGTGTCACTTGTCAGGTTAAAATCCAATTTCTACGTTCGTATGGGTTTTCATCGACGGCAAATTTCGTCGAAATGACACATCCTGAACACACGGGAAGGCAAATGTAGCTTTCTATGTGAGTACTCAACATAGGTACGTAATTATGTATGGCGGATCAATTTCGCCATGTTCAAAATGCCACAACAGCGTGGCGTTGTATACAACGCCACGTTCACGGGTCTAGGCTTGCCTTGACATGCTTGAACACGATCGAGTAAAAAGGCTATTTACTGTACTGTCTGTAGAAAGTTTGATAAATCAAAGAGAAAGAATGCCTTCAGAGAAGCAGACGGGTGTAAGTCAATTATGGTGCATGTGGGTTTTTCTTGGTGCATGTAGGTTTTTTGGTCTACATGCACCAGTGCATGCAACTTTTTTTTTGTAAATCGAGCCCTGGCTCAAATCCAAGAGCTTTATAAGAAAATTGCCCAGAGTCAATGATGAAACAACATAGTGGAAAATGTGTTTAAAATTTTGGTTCCTGGACAGTATTTTGTGCGTTCCAGAACCATGAACCGTGGGAGTCTGTGACACATTGTATGTTTGTACATGACAAACTGGTGCTGTACCGTACTGTATTCGCGAAGTGACATGAACATAAATTTTGCACCGTAAGTCATTGCAAATGTCTTTCACAAAGTTTTGCTGTTATTTTTGGGACTTGAGTCTTAGTAGCCTTCGTTTGAGTCAAGTCAAGTCTTTTGATGAGGGACTCGAGTCGGGTCGAGTCATTTGCTCGCAGTGACTCGAGACATTTACCTTTGGGGACTCGAGTTGAGTCGAGTCACACAAAAAATGGTTACTCCAGTTGGTACCATCTGTCGGTGGCGGCGCTGTTCAAAACTGACGATTATGCACACCAACGGCCAATATATAGTGCATTTCAGGGCGATACATGTGCGCAATTCAGAAAAAGGCACCCAAAACGGCATATGCCACAAAAAAGGGCAACACTTCTTTTCAAAAAAGGGCACTTGTTAAGAAAAAAAGGCACCTCTTTAAAAAAAAAAAAAAAAGGGCACTCTTTACAAATTATTGGGGGGGGGTAAGCCCGTTACAAAAAGGGCATTTGAATGGTAAAAGGCAGTTTTTAAGAAATATTGGGGGGGTAAATTCCCCCTTCCCCCCCCCCCCCCCCCCCCCCCACCCCCCGCTGGCTACGCCTATGGTTAAGTATTTGTTTTGTATTTGAATTGACATCTTTAATCTGCAGCATGATTCAGCTGTGAAGCAGTTTCTGGATATCGGAGCAGTGGACTTCCTTTCTAAGCTTCGTTCAGATAGTGAGGATCACGTACACCCAGTAATAGATGACATCCTGGCGAGTCTACTCAGATTATCCAGCCAAGATCAGTCATTGCGCAGAGGGGGCTGTACATGTATCTATCAGCAGCATCGATGTCCTGTGGTCCAGAAAGGTTTGTTTTCCCTACCATAAGTTTTCAACCCCAATTGCTAGAGTGGTTAAAACCTCCTATTCATTGCTGAGTATTAAACCTCTAAAGCCCTTTTCACATTAGACAAATCTCTGGGTTGACGCAGGGTCGAAAACATGCATCGTTTCACACTTGAAGAATTTCAACCCTGCGTCAACCCTGCGATAGATTTCGCCCCGGGTTGAACTCAACCCTGCTCCAGACCAGGGTTGAGATTTTCAACCCGGGTTGAAATTCTTGCCAGGGTTCAAAACAGTAGTAACTGAGCATGATAAGCTTGATTTGCATGAAACAAGTGTGAAACGATGCAGGGTTGAACGCAGGGTTGAACAATCAAAAACTCAACCCAGGGCGGCACTGGGTTCGCCCAGGGTTGAGTTCAACCCGGGTTGAGAAGCTCTAGTGCGAAAAGGGCTTTAGAGTGCTCTCCCAACCAATATGGGAAGATACACTGTTTGTATATATTTACAATCTGAGTTGGATTTCTTTTTCTATTTTAAGGTGATTTTTCCGTCATTCAGCACAGTCTTGTGCACTTTTAAAACATACATTGTAAAATCACAGTGCAACTAAACTATTCATTGGGTGAATTTGCATTAGGCTGATGTCAATCAATATAATGTTTTACCCTTTAACACACCAAGTACAATGTTTTTATACGTCGGTGAAGGGCAAATTTTAATATTGATTTACATCACCCCGACGTAAATTCATTTTATGAAGAGTTTAATTGCGGTACCCACTGCTACATGTACAACAGATTCAAGCCAACCGATCCGGCAAGCTCGGTGGTTGAGTGGTAAGTAGAAAGCAGGATGTCGTGAGTTTGAGTCCCACCCGAGTGATTTTGTCCCAACTTTCACTCGGGAGGTAACACACTAAGTATACAGCGTTTATATGGTGGTGTTCCCTAACGTGGCGCACTTCGACGTTTACCCAACTTTCCTCGTGTAGTGTTGCCAAACCTCTTTGGTGACAAACCTCAAATTCATGCAGTGAAATACTGGTACTTTGACCTTATTTAACCTCTGTGAACAATTTCGGTTTCATGACATTCAATCCGAAATTCAAAAACGGTGGCATCCGGAAATTGGGCACAAATTGGCGGAGTGTTCCCTAACTCGGTGCACTTGAATAAATCTTGGAAAATTCCAAATTAACATTTAAGAATTCCTGTAAAGTTGGTAGATTCTGATAAACCATTATTATCTGTACTTACATACCCAACCAGAAGTTTGTCAGAATTTTTTTTTTCTTATTTTTCGGGGCATTTTCAAAGGGTTCGCTTTGCACTTCAAAATAAAATCGGAAAATCACGCCAAAATGACTTTTTCTTCTAACTTTGTAACGGGTAGATAAACTCGTGATTTATGAACGGGAGTGCTGAGAACTTGATGAAATTTCACTTTCTGTGAAATTTCAGTTAAAACTTTTGCTCTAGCTAGGCGCTACAGGCGAAAAATCAAAGTGCGCCACTTTGGGGGCCGTGCCACGTTAGGGTATATCAACAATACGCACAAGTAAATTGCAGCCCACTGGAAATACAACTTGCGCTCTGTTTGGTGTTATTGTCCTTTGCAAGGGGCAGGACGGATTATAAAACAAAAAGAAGGTTGGGTGAGAGGGGGTATATTTTCAGGGTGACCGTTTTAGCTGATTTTCGGCTAACTTTGACAGAATTTTTGTACCGAAAAGTTTGACCGAAAATTTGACAGAATGGATTTTTTTGGCAGATTTCTGGCAGAATTCTACAAAAATGGTTATTTGACAGAAAAACAGCAAATTTGAACAAAAAAGTGTACATTTGATTAAAAAAGCTTAAATCCCTTCAAACGAACCCTAAAATTGTTAAGCCTGCTTCTGAAAACATGCCCTCTGATTGTTGACTCTGGTGCTGTCGCCAACTAGTTGAGTGACTCTTTGGATAGAAAATCGCAAATCTACGGTGGTAGGCAAGACAATAGCCTTGGGACTAGATGGAGCTGATAACACACTGCTTGTATTTTTTTTTAGAAATTTCCAGAAACCTAGAAGAGGTTGGGAAGCCTGACTGTGCTGAGATGAGGACGACGGATGTTCATCGTGGCTACTTCCCTCATTCTGTTACCAATACAAAGAAAGCGCTGCACACAAATGACCTCAGCAGTTCACCAAATTCAGGTATTGACATGTATAGTATATATAAATTAACTTTTCCAATATTCGCAATGCATCTTGGGCATGAATGACAAACAAACCTAACGTTTTGTACACAAACCTATGGAGCTGTGATCTAGTTACCGCTTAACAATTGTTGACTGCGGTGATGTGGAATATGCTGTTTTCAGCAACTGAGGTGCGCATATACGCCAGAGCTTATTGTGAACTGGAGCTTGTTTTGTAGTATTTCATTTTCACATGTGTTGTATGAGCTGCAAGCAGCCTTGAATACGGATTGCCAGCTTATAATGACTAGTGAAGCAAGTTCCTTCTTTTCAAATAAAACAAATAAAGAACTCACTTTGTAAACCTTGATTTTGCAGATGTTGGATGTGTGAAAGGATTGACTTTTTCGACATTTCCTTGGTTGCCTCTCACACCGACAGACAGACATGTACTGATCTCCACTAACAGGTGAATGATGAACATAAGAAATACCTACACACACACTGAATGATCCGCTTGGATTATATTGGGGGAATGATGAACATAAGAAATACCTACACACACACTGAATGATCCGCTTGGATTATATTGGGGGAATGATGAACATAAGAAATACCTACACACACACTGAATGATCCGCTTGGATTATATTGGGGGAATGATGAACATGAGAAATACCTACACACACACTGAATGATCCGCTTGGATTATATTGGGGGAATGATGAACATGAGAAATACCTACACACACACTGAATGATCCGCTTGGATTATATTGGGGGAATGAAGTGTCATGGCCTAGCGGTTAAGAGCACCGGACTCATGCTCTGGTGTTTCAGAGGTAACAGTGACGTGGGTTCGAGCCCGGGCCCGGACACCTGTGCCCTTAAGCAAGGCACTTAACCATTATTGCTTCGTCCTCCGGAGGTCCTGTGTGTTGTATAAGGCCTAACGCACGTAAAAGAACCCAGTAACACTTATCGCTAAGAGAAGGGGTTTGCCCTGGTGTTTCTGGCCTCACACATTTGAAATTGTTAGTTTTTCCGGCCAGAAAGTTTGTAAGTGTATGATTCGAGTATCTGATTGCCCTTTTCTTTTCGTTTTATCAATATTGAGTTTTTTGTAAGGCGGCAGAACGCTTTGCCCAATCTATAACAAATTAGCTCAAGTTTTCTACTGAGACTCGTTCAAATGGGCCGTGTTTTGTCGACCGTAAACTTGAAAAACGAACTCTCCGTGGCAAACTCTTGGTGGCGCACTGCATTGTGAATCGCCCGAATTGGGATGATTGAATCCTTATCACTTGAAGATTTAGGCATTTTTTCCTGACGTATTAAAAGCAGCTATGTTCATCTACTGTTTTCTTCTCCATAGTTCTTTGTGTAGTCCAAGACCTAGCCTTGTTCTCAACTCGTGTGAATTTGTCAGTGGAGTCGTCTTGCAAGATTTTCCTGCTGAAATATTTTTACAGAGGCCAAGCATCACCAAGGTTTGTTTTTACATGTACTCTCATAATTGTTTGACTTGTTTTGTTTCTTGACATGTCCTATAAGGTTTGTATACGACAACCTCCTGTGAACTTGGGCTTAGTTCCCCATGGTTATTGTTGTTGCAGGTAACCCATTGTTTCAAGTCCTCACACATATCCGCTCCGTTCACAAGAACCCCCTCACCGGCAAAGAGAGTACAGTTGGGGGTGACCGACCGATGCCATCTTGCCTGACTGCAATAATTGCCGCGAAGCACGGCCACTGCATGTACATACAAATCCCCTGGTGTACGTGCGACACACACTAGGAACGGTGCGCGTCAACCAGCGAAATGTCCCGCCCATGGGACGTCGTTGCTAGGTAAAAGGGCGCCTTCTTTTGTCGGCGCACGGAGCCCATAGGATAACAAGATCACATGATTAGTTATCCAACGAGTGCGTGTGGTACAGGGAATAATGTAGTGCCTCTGTGCTCCATAGGCAATGAGGTTGAATGCTGAGTGGCTGTGGGACACAGACGCATTACTATTTCCATATTCCATGAGCACGAGTAAACCTGACACACATTAGAGCTACATAGTCCATCATTTGCAGCTATTCAAAAAGTAACTGCGGTAATTATTGTTGAAAAACATACTTGGTTGAAAGATAGTGGGGGACTAAGCTCCCTGTGAAATTATTCTTTCTGGCAAGCTGTCATTTTGAAGTAATCAACGAAAGAAGGCCTTTCCAACGGTACTTCTTAAGACGCACCGTAGGAAATTTAAATTAGTAGTTCGTTTTGTTATTCGGTGAAGCGTGCGCAGGCATTGGCACGACGCACACGTACGTGCGGTTGCTATAATTCGTAGGAATAGTGCGCGACATCGCGTAGCTGCAATCAGCTGAGAACGTGTTTAAAAAACCCTGAATTACCATTGGCGTCACTTCAGTCTCTATTGTATTTGATTGCAGAGTCTGTTGTCTTTGCTTGGCCTGAAGCCCCTCAGCGTTGGTGATAACTCCATACCTCTAAGTGCCATCAAGTGCTTGAGGGAATTATCCACTCTGTTACTTTCACGTCACAGGTTTTATCATGACCCTGCCCTGTATTGCCCCAAACAAGGTAAGAACAAGAGTTGCTCTTTTGCTAAGCCTTTTAGCATTCATCATTTTGACCTTGCAAACATCAAAAAACGAAATGATCCAATTATCACGAAATACCTCACTGAATTGTTAGGCAATGACAATCTAAAGCATCCTGTAAAATTGTGGCTCCTGGTGTGCTGACAGTTTCAAGAAAATTTTTATTTTTCCAATGCTGGTTGGCCGACCAGCGCTAGAGAAAACTGGCTATTTTCAAAAACTACTCCATATTTCTTATATTTGGTTATTCCACATTTTCTTTGCAATTGATTACACACCTGTGAACGGGTACAAGCCAGTTAAATTGATACTCTGGCCATACAATTCCCCAAAGTCTATACTTTGCTCCATTTCATCTTAAGTGGGGTCAGGGAACCAGACTACAAGAATATAATTGGTTTTCTTGGTTTTTCCAGCATCTAAAAGCCAAAAACGTGAAACAAGTCAGTTTAACAATATTTGCTAAAACATATAAATCCTCCAAATGCACTTATTTCTGAAAATTGCAGCAAAAGCAAATGTTGTACATTCCCTTTAAGTCATTTGGTTAGAAAATCTTCAAAAATTACAGGATTCATCGCAAAGTTACTTCAGTGGTACAATGTACATAATTCGTTGTACAATCGAAGTAAGAAATTATAGCAAGGTAATTTTCAATGTACATAGGGCAAACCCAATCGGAATTGTACTTCTCTAGATTTAGGACTTTGAATGAAGCACCTTAAAGGGAATATACAACATTGGCAAACATTGAAAAATAAAGCTACCAAGTTTTTACGAAATACCTTACTAGGATGTTGGTAACTGGCAGTCTGAAGCATCCTGTAAAATTATGGCACCAGGTGTGAAGTCATTTTCAAGAAAACGGTATTTTTGTATACATTTCCAATGGTGGTCGGCCGACCACTGTCAGAAAAACCTAACTATTTTTCAACTACTGCTCCAAATTTACAATTTTTTTTCAGTCCAAATTTTGTTTGCTATTGGTTACATGTTCATGAATAGGTGCAAGCCAGCTAGACTGGCTCCCTTTCCTTACAGTTTTCCGAAATCTATGAATTGATCCATTTTATCTTTAGTGGAGTCAGGGAACCAGACTACTTAAACTTTTTTGTTTTTTCTTGGTTTTTCAAGCATTTTCGAACGCAAAACTTCAAACATGTCAGTGTAACAATATTTGATCTATTATACTAACCCCTCAAACAGTTCATTCCTGAAAGTTACAGCAAAAGCCAATGCTGTACGTTCCCTTTATTAAGTCATTTGGTTAGAAAATCTGCAAAAATTACAGGATTCACCGCAAAGTTACTTCGATGGTACAATGTACATAATTCGTTGTACAATTGAAGTAAGAAATTATAGCAAGGTATTTTCAATGGACATAGGGCAAACCCAATCGGAATTGAACTTCTTTAGATTTAGGACTTTGAATGAAGCACCTTAAGTGTGATCACACCATGTCACATATGTGTCACCGTGATGTCAGGGTTCCTTATCTGTCATCAGCAGGTGGTCTATGTATGTTCCTAGTTAGAAATTGGATTCCTAAAGCCCTTTTCACACTAGACAAATCTCGGGGTTGACCCAGGGTTGACACAGGGTTGAAAACATGCATCGTTTCACACTTGAAGAATTTCAACCCTGCATCAACCCTGCATCAACCCTGTGTCAACCCCGAGATTGATTTCACCCCAGGTTGAACTCAACCCTGCTCTAGACCAGGGTTGAGATTTTCAACCCAGGTTGAAATTCTTGCCAGGGTCCAAAACGGTAGTAACTGAGCATGATAAGCTTGATTTGCATGAAGCAAGTGTGAAACGATGCGGGGTTGAGAGCGGGGTTGAAAAATCAAAAACTCAACCCAGTGCGGCACTGGGTTCGCCCAGGGTTGAGTTCAACCCGGGTTGAGAGGCTCTAGTGTGAAAAGGGCTTTAGAGTGGAAAAAGTTGGATGGAAAAATGTACAAAGATATATAAATTCCACATAGAGAAAAGTTGGTATTAAAAGGGGAAAGAAGAAAGGTTTAGGTGCATGTCTGTATTTAGGCAGTCTTTTTTTGCCTTGCCTATTTTTGGCAGTGAATAAAGCCATCAAAATTTGAACCAAATTGCTAACGTAAGACTGGTACCACATTGATTGATAAATAACAAGTGACTGTGTGATATTGGGTCTCACACTTGTTCCAGACTTTCACAAATGTGATGCGATCAAGCTAAATGAGTCGTTTGTCGGGAATGTTTATTTGGAGATACAGGCCAAAATAAAATCACTTCATAACATCACTTTATGACATCTCTTGGTGTTCCGACTTCCATAATTTTTGAACTTGTGATGGTATCAGCATGCAGTTTTCACAGCAGTAATGCAGGGATTGTGCTCTTTTCAAATCTGTAAAACTTTTAAAACTTAAATGGATTGGATTCATGGACGTTTTGGCATTTTTATTTCGTCTGCAGATTTTGGGTCGCAGACAGCCTCTTCTACATCCTCTGGAACGGTAAGGGCATCCTGCTCAACAAGCCAATCAACTCTCAGCTCAGACCCTAGACCCTCAGTGATTGGTCGCAATGAACCTCGTATGAGAGGCGATGGAAGAGATGGTGACTCTCCAAGCTCCGTGTAAGTTTCAAATGATCAGATAGCTTCTCTGACTTAACAAGAATATAATTAATGGAAGATTCCAAGTGCAGTGTCTTTGCAAAGTAGGACATTTATTGGAACCAGAGCTGATTTGGGCGCCATGTGTACAGCTATCTTGACAAGTAATAGGTCCTTATTAAAACATAGGTATTGTCTCATTTTGGTTTAACGTTATCAGTCGTTTTGAAAGTGTTTGCTGATCTTAGTTTCCTTATTTGTAAAAGAGTGCATTCATGTTATATTTATATCCATTCAGTTATTGAAGCAGTGCGTTCGATTACTTCCCCCGCGCTTACTCGTGCAAGCGCAACAGCGTTCGATTGACCTCTCACGTGACTTATCGCGCTTACTCGACCCTTGCCCAAGTAACCGACTCGCTGAGCCGGTTACTTGGCTAAGTATCCCATAAGGCCATGCAGCGTCTGGCGGGCGCCTCATCAGGCCGTGTCCGACACAGGCTTCCACGGAGCAAAGAGCTACAAACCCTATGTAGCTCTATGCACGGAGCTACGGCTACGAATTGTCAGCGCGTCCCCGCGTATTTTCACTGGAGGTGGACGTGCATGCCCATGTTTCCAGCTCTTGCAACTTTACCTGAAACAGTTCGTTTATTTAGCTCCACTGCGCATGTCTGTCATTACGCGAAGAGCCAGGCGCGAGTAAGCGGGGGGAAGTAATCGAACGCACTCAATTTAACCTTCATAAGGCTGGCATCACAACACATCAGTTTCCAGCCCGTCTTGGAGATAACATAACAAAAATGTTCATTTCCTTTTGCAGAGATTCAAGTCACACAGTGCCAGACCAAGCTCCTTCTGTCTCCGACACTGACAGTGAAGATGCTATCATTCTCCAGTTCTCACAGCTTACCCTTCCCGAGTTTGCAACTGATGTCCTGTTTCATGTGACACCACTCCTAAAGACTGGTACCACAGAAATGTTTGTAGCGAGTCTGTACCTCCTGCATGAGGCCTTGAAGCTTATAAGGATAGCAATGACATCAGAGATATGGGACGATAGCAGTGCTGCAGGCAGAGCCTTGGTGAGTCTTACTTGCTCAGTATTGATGCATTTGTGCTTACTAGAATAAGGGCTGCCGTCCAATTAAAATGAACATTTGTATGGTTTATCATAAACTAGGGCCAGTAGGCTTTCCATTGTTATGTTGATTGCATTCCTCTGGTCATGCTCAAGAAAGCTCCATTGTCGAAGTAAAACCCTGTTGTGACAGTTTAACCCAAATTTTTCAAATTTCAAAACCAAGAAATTCTGAAGGATACATTTTCAAAACCAGAATTTATTGTCCCTGTTTAGGGGCCACCTTTATTGCTGGCCGGTCTTAAACACTTCTGGTGCTGGTGCTTTATCATCCGTTTAAGATCGGCCATGTGATGGGCCCTCAACCAATAGGAATGGGTAAACTGTTTTGGGTATTTATGAATGAAGATTTCAATGTTCATTCTGTAACTTGTTGCAGGTGATCTTGTTATATGATCTTAACAAGCAGTTGATTATTTCTCAATTTAAGTGTCTGTCCAGTTTCATACAAAGTCAGTTGATGTGTTCAAATTTCCATTTGTGTTGGAAACAAAGAAAGCAATTTTTGATAGGATCATAACACTACACCAATATGACATTATCTTCAAGTAAACTTGAATCCTCGATCCTGATTGGTCGATCCATGGCAACAAGCCGTGCTACATATAACCATGTAGCACGGCCTCGGTCTCGCACTCAGCGTATTCCGCTGTTCCAAGATGCGAGCGGCATTCCAGCTGCAAACGCTGCTGAATGTCCGTGTAATGCGTGCTCGTTCCAGCTGTATTGCGCGTCAAGTTTGCTTGAAGATAAATTCGTTATCACGCTCGCGCTCGTGGAACACGGAATAATGTAGTGCGTCTGTGTCCCACATACCACGAGGCCGAACGGTCACGGGATAACTTATATTGTCTACATTGATATTCATGTTATTTTCCTTGCAGATTGACAAGTTATTGGATAGCTTTGAAACCCTTGGCGAGGTTATACACTACCATTATCTCCAGTGCCATGGAACTGATGATGATGAGTCATCTTGCCCTGCCGTATCTGATGAGGCTTTCATTCATCATCGTTTGTCCACAATTGCTGTTGTTGCTCTTGTGAAGAAACTCATCCAAGAACTTGTTCCACTTGAAAAGGTAACTTTAGGTCTTATATTGTAGCGCAATGCATTTTATAGAGGGCGCACCTTAGTCATTTGCTGGTAGCCAGCGGTGTGTGCGTGTTCTCATCCAGGTTGTGGGAGCACCAGCCAACAGCGGCAGTGTATGTAAGCGGCCTTGTGCTCAGCTTCGCTCTCTTTTTGCGGTGGCCCGTACCAGAGCTCGGTCTCTATGAAGTTTCTGTTGTAACACTGATTAACTGCCCACAATTAACCAATCACCTAGGCAGCAAGTCACAGTGCAGGGAGCCCATAGAGCTATATTAAATTACTAGAGCGCTAACTCGATGTACAAAGAGATGCCTGATGGGCACATCCATGTTTGTACACAAACCTATGGAAAACTAGAAATTGTGTACGGCTTTTGTACGGCTATTTGCATATCTGCATTTGTATTCCATACCGGTGCGTTATCGAATCCGAAACGCCCAAAACCGAAATGCACGATCAGCAAATGAGCCTTTCATTTTGCTGTACGCAAACAGCGCAACGCGTGCGCGTATTTGCTGCAGATGCTTTTTCCCGTGACGTTTTTTTAACTGTCATGACGCGCTCAAGTTGTTTGCGTATGTTCTACTTGCGCGTTGCATATAGAGTACACTTTCAATTTCAAAATTCAATCCATTATGTTTTACAAACACGCACCAGAATTCAAAATGTCTGCGCCCAGGACGGCTTCGAAGCGTCTCCGCATGCAAGAATGAGGATTTAGCGCTCTAGTAATTTAATATAGCTCTATGAGGGAGCCTCATACTTTGTGTGAGTGGAAACTGGCTAATAATTCCTTTATCCTTATCCCGAAAATGGAGTAATCTCTAAAATTATAAGAGAAGTGATTAAGAAGATCACGTAGGTTAGGCACCTATGATGTAGGCTGGAACTTGAATGGTGAAGAAACCATAAAAGGTAAGGGTAGGCGCAAACCTGTGTCCAGTGTTCAATTCTTCCCCCTTGGTACACTCCCCCCCCCCCAGACATGCCATGAGATTGTAATTTGCTGATACTGATCAGATCCTTTTTATTTCCTGTCTTGTTTGAAGGCTAAAGATGTGTTACCAGAGAGTCTGTCCTTGTCATTATACCTTGCTGTTATGGATCAAGGTCTGCTGTACTGTACACCTGATGTTCGACCATTCCTGTTGGCCGTCATACAAAGGTGCTTACCCAGTAAGCATAGACTGTACCAACAGGTTGCAAGCATCTGTAACTCCATGGACAGTGCTTGTATGTTCCTTCATGAGATTGACAAAGAGGTTAGCAAGTAGCTTTTTTGACATTAACAAGTCTTTTTAACATTTCGTCGCTTTGCTCACAAATTGACAAAAACCTCAGAATTTGACAAAACTTCATCCCACGATAATTGCATTTGAAGTCATTCATTTTTTCAAAAGACATTTTCAACCACTTTGCAGTAAAAGAATTTGGAACTTTTTGCATTATCCGATAGCATGTGATTTGCTTTTCGCTATTTCAAAGTTGTTTGTTAAAAATAGTTCTTAATTAAACAGTAATTCATTAATAAAACTTTTTTGCACTTCGTGAGAACATCAAAACTTTGGGTCCCGTATTTCCCAAATAATTTGTACACAGTTTTTGTCACTTCGTGGGAACAACATGAATTGCAGAGGCTTTACTTATTTTGTACTTTTGTCGACGCATCAAACTTGTTACTTTTGCGCGTCATATGATCGGTGAGCACGCACGCATCTGTTCTTTTTCAACATCGTTCGCGTGTGCGTGTATGCTCCCGTCCTGCTGCGAGTAGACCAATGTATAATTTCTCCGGCCCTGCTCACGAAGTGACTTTTTGTCACTTCGTGAGAAAATTTTACACTTTTTGACACTTTGTAAAAATGAAAATCACAGATTTCAGGCTTTTTGTCAAATGTTTGTTTACAATAATTAAGAAAGCAAAAACTATTTTGCTTTGAAACTTGATCAAATTGTTCGTTGAGACAGCTATAATAAAATGGCTAGTAAAGCTCAAAACCGAACAATTATCAATTTTCGAGGTTTTTTGTCACTTCGTGAGCAAAGCGACGATTTAAGGCATGCATAATTTAATTTGTTGGTCGTGTCTCAGATAGCAATGTTTGACATATCAAAGGCTTGCCCTTTAGTGAAACTCTAAATCAGTGCCAATTGTACTCTAAAATTAGGGTAAAAATTATTACGAATTCATCATTAAAAACTATTAATCTTCTTTTCACAGAGCACAAATGTTGAGAGATTGCTTGACTTAGCAGAGGCAAGCCTCAGAAGTCTGCATTATCACAGAATTCTGACATTAGCAGATAAGTTTGTTCAACTATGCTCTGACATGTAAGTACTTGAATATTTGGTTAATTAGCAACGTTCATAAATATGCGCGAATAATTCAAGAAGCAAACATCGAATCCCTTAGTGGTTTGCTTTTTGACAAGATGAAAAGGCCTTGTGCAGGCCTGTAGAAGTTGTAATTATTCAATCTGATGGTCAACAAGTACAGTGAAAGACTTATCTGCAATTTTGAAAGATGGGTTGTATTCTTTTGTTGTACGTGTCCCTTGTAGACCAGTGTTCTCCAACCTGTAAATATAACCTGGTGCCCCGCTATGCTTTCTGAGGCACCCGCCAAGCTTCAAAAGTTGCCCGCCATGCTTTAAAAAAAATGAAAACAATTATAGAAAAGACAAACAAGTGAGACTACCCTTACCCTCCAGGGTATATTTTGTCCAGAAACTCTGCTAAAAGCAGTAACATTCAACACTTGTCAAACTGACAAGCCTGCCCATTGCAGCAATCCATCAGGTTACAAGTCTCAAGGCCAAACTGCCTCAGAGTCCCTGGTCACTGATGTGTTAAAAAAGATGATGCTGAGCCAGTATTGTACTTAACTGTTACTGTTTTAGAAATAGCATAAAAGCATCGAACCGGCCAACCGATCCCGTTAGCTCGGTGGTCGAGTGGTAAGACATCTGCACTAGAAAGCAGGAGGTCGTGGGTTCGAGTCCCACTCGAGTGATTTTTTCCAACTTTCACTCAGGAGGTAACACACTGGGTATACAGTGTTTAAAACGTCGGTGAAGGGCAAAACCTAATTTGATTTATATCACCCCGGCGCAAAAATTCCATCTTATAATAGCATAAAAGCTGTTATCCATACATAAATTACAGTACGTGTTCATCGGCAAATAGTGCCCCCTAGCATAAAGAAATGTATGACTGCAAATAGCGCCCCTAACATAATTATAGCGCCCCCTCCCTCCGCTTTTTGACGGCACACCGACCTATAATTTTTAAAGTTGGAGAACACTGGTAGACTGAATCCAATAGTATTTTTTAGGTGGGTTGTGGTTTTTATGTATGAAGCTGGTGAATTTATAGAAAGCTGTTTGCGTGTTGTCTAGCTGCAGTTCATCAAATGGGAAGTTGCTCAGATATTCTGGACGGATTCTACTGAGATTCCTTGCCTGTCCCGAGCAAGACGTAAAGTTACAGACCTATGCTGCATGTCTCAAGATTGTCAAGGTAATGGCAAGGAAAACAGGTTTGACAAAGTGGCATCACTCCTTGGAATTTATTTATCACCATATTATTAAAGGGAAGATACAACATTTGCAAACATCACAAAATGAAACGATCAAATTATCACGAAATATCTTACTGGATTGTTAGGGAATGACAGTCTAAAGCATCCTGTAAAATCGTGGCTCCTGGTGTGCTGACATTTTCAAGAAAAACGGTATTTTTCCAACGCTGGTCAGCTGACCAGTGTTGCAGGAAACTGGCTTTTTTCAAAAAGTGCTCCTAATTTTTCCTAATTAGTTATTCCACATTTTCTTGGCAATTGATTACACACCTGTGAATTGTAAAGTCGGAGAATCAGTCTACTTGTCAGGCTTGTACCCACAAGCCTGACAAGTAGACTGATTCTCCGACTTTACAATTCCCCAATGTCTATAAATTGCTTCGATCCATCTTAAGTGGGGTCAGGGAACCAGACTACAAGAACATGATTGGTTTTCTCGGTTTTTCCAGCATCTACCAGCCCAAAACATGAAACAAGTCAGTTCAACAATATTTTCTATAACATACTGATCCTCCAAATTCATTTATTTCTGAAAATTGCAGCAAAAGCAAATGTTGTACATTCCCTTTAATATTCTGAGAGAATAAATAATACAGCTGGAAAAATGCTTCTACACTACAAAGTTTCAAAATACACGACTGAGCCCATAGAGAGCAAAAGTTCCTGCACTGATTGCAGTCTGATCAAGATAAGCTCCATGGCAGGGGTGTTGATATCCAGTGATAGCAAACATTCATGTTAAGTGATGCACATTGATGTTCACACCATGAGTCTGATGTGAATTTGATTCCTTGTTTGTAACTTTATGTGATGTTTATTGTACAGTGCTCTTACTGAGTGATTTTTCTGTGGTTTTTCAGGATGTCATAAATGTAGAGGAGTCCATCAAAGCGAGACCAAGTGCCACTGAACGCATCCATTTCCTGCTTGATTCCAAGATTCTGTATGAGATATGTTGTTTTGGACTCTTTGATGAGCAAGAGAAGGTTGGTACTATGTTAAGCCAAAGAGTTGAGATTGCTGATGTTTTGAATTCCCCTATCACAGTGATGTTTACCTTGGGATAATTGCTATAGAGCCAGTTCTATCCGCTCCGTTCACAAGTACCCCCTCACCGGCAAAGAAAGTACTGTTGGGAGTGACCGACTGACGCCATCTTGCCTGGCTGCAATTTTGCGCGACGCGCGGCCGTACCACTGCGTGTACATAGTACAAATCCCCTGGTGTACGTGCGTCACACACAAGGAACGGTGCGCATCAACCAGCTAAATGTCCCGCCCATGGGATGTCGTTGCTAGGTAAAAGGGCGCCCTCTTTCGTTGGCGCACGGAGCCTATTAAGATCAGGTTCCACACAAAAAAACATGTTCAGTGAATAAGAACAGAATTATTTTGAAGGTTGTTTGAATGCATTGGGTTGCTCAGTTCATACTTGGGTCAGGGTAGTGTCATGATGCTACCACAATACTTGCCCCCACAGAACGTCCAAATGAAACGTCCATTCTCTATGAACAGACTCTTGACTCAATACTAAACAAACCGATGATGCTTCTCCGTTACAAAACTTACACAGGACATTAAGGTCACTGGAGGTGTATTGGTAAACAAAACTCGGATATAAACAAATCATTTAACCTATTATAAGATGGAATTTTTGCGTCCGGTGATGTAAATTGAGATTCCATCTTATTTCCATAAGAATTCCATCTTATAATAGTTTATGCGGTACCCGTTGCTATGTACATCAGATTCGAACCAGCCAACCCGTTAGCTCGGTGGTCGAGTGGTAAGACATCTGCACTAGAAAGCAGGAGGTCGTGGGTTCGAGTCCCACCCGAGTGATTTTTTCCAACTTACAGTCGGGAGGTAACACACTTAGTATACAGTGTTTAAACGTCAGTAAAGGGCAAAACCTAATTTGAAAAATCATTTAATCATTTTTGTGGACGATTTGTTTGATCTTACAAAGGTGTGCAGCCAAGCTGAAGATTTGATGTGCCATCTGTTTCAAGGCCAACTCTTGATGTCACCAACCACCTGGTGTGTTTTTCTGCAGGCGTGTGTCCCTGTACTCCCCGTCTTGCAGGTCAGGTTATACCTAGGAGCTCTTTGAATACCATTGTAATACATGATAACTGATAACAAGAAATACCTGTACTGGTTTGCTAGTTTAAGGAGAATACACGAGAAAGTGTGGATTTGTAATTTAAGAATTCACGCCTCGTGAATTCGTAAATTAAGAATCCACACTTGCGAGTGTATTCTTCGACTTAAACCATTGCATCAACAGAAGTATTGGAAAGAATGTTGCAACCTGACGCCACTTTTTTCTTCATATCTCATCTCAATGAAGGTCATTCGTTGCAAATATGATGATAAGACATGAATCTGGGACTGAGAAATGTTTCCAACTATGTTAGGAAATACTTGAAATGACTCTCCATAGACTTCGTACACAAGCGCGGAAGTGGCGTCAGGTTGCAACATTTTTTCCTGGCGTGTTTAGCATGTGTAATGCCACACCCGTACAACCAAGTCATTTTGTGTGTATAGGCTCCTTACGTCAAAATGGATACTTCAGACGACGATTTCTTTCTGACTAAAAGTAGATTTTGCAGTGACGGCGGAGAATCTGACAGTGAAGATGCATTGGTAATTTTCGGAAAGCAAATTTTCACGCAGACGGTCCTATTCATGCTCATTATGGAGAACAATTGTCCGATGTGTTCAAAGTGCGGATTCGTAATTCCAAATCCACACTTTACTAAAGATTCGTCGTTCCAAATCCACATTTTGTGACCAGTGTAAGAGATTCGTAGATCCGAATCCACACTTGTAACACCAGTGTGACGTCACAGCAATGGTTTATTTTTTTTTTAACTGAGCAGGGCTGTTTTGTGCTCACCTTTGAGTGATAAATGGATATGTTGACATGCGAGTTGAACATGTATCATTTTCACCAGGCACTCGCGAGTAGGAAAACCCAACTGTCTGCCTGCATTCTGGGATTGCTGGAACCCAGTGCCTCAAGGAGCAAATCAGCAGAGTTTGAAGTATTGCCTGATCTAGAGAAGCTCAGAGGATCCTTGAGACTTCTCCTGTGTCAAGATCAAAGGTAACTACGTGTGTACTATGACTGCATGGTCCCCGCCACGCCTGCAAAGGGCCAAAGAAGGCATGAAATTGGAGTTTCTTTTTGAATGGCAGTAAATATGCTTTTCCTAGGAAATAAATTGGATTATTATTGTTTTGGTATTGTTTGTTGCCTCATCCAGAAATTGGGTTACATGTCATTGAAGCTGGTCTGTAGGTTGCTGGTCTTGAGCAGTCCAGTACAGTGCAGAATGAAAGATAACAAGAAGAATTGTTCACTCTACAGACCTAGTAATATAATCATGCTCCATGATATAATGATGTAGAAATATACTTAAAGCTATAGTCCATCATTTGCAGCTATCCGAAAAGTAACTGGCATAATTATTGTTGAAAAACATACTTGGTTGAAAGAAAGTAGGGGGACTAAACTCCCTGTGAAATTATTCTTTCTTACAAGCTGTCATTTTGAAGTAATCAACGAAAGAAGGCCTTTCCAACGATGCTTCTTAAGACGCACCGTAGGAAATTTGAATTAGTAGTTCGTTTTCTTATTCGACGAAGCGCGCGCAAGCATTGGCACGACGCACACACACGCGTGGTTGCTACAATTCGTCGGATCAGTGCGTAACATCGCATAGCTGCAATCGGCTCAGTGAGAACGTGTCTCGGACGCTGAATTCAGGCCCAATTCAAAACATGATTCAGCAACTTTTGACTTGAAATTGAGATCCTAGAATGCTGTTTTTCTCGGAATATACAGCTGAAGCTGAGCTGAAACTTCATCAGGTTAGTTGTTCAGTACCCTGATTTAGATTTTGAGCACTTAATTAGCTTCCAACGAACAAAATGCACAAATTACAAATGATGGACTATATCTTTAAACAAAGATGATGACTATGTAGGATCATGTCAAATATACATCATGGTAGAAATTGACTTAAGACTTGGACTGATAATGAAATGTTTGATTTTTTTTCCAGTGCTCGTCTGAAAGGAGCTAAGTCTGTCCTGTACTACCTAACCAAGGAGACTAGTAGTTCATTGAAGCTTCCTTCTATAGATAACTACACACTGAATGATGTAGCTGATCTACTACTAATGGACCATGCCATCCATCTAGATACACATAACAGTGGACGATCAGTATTTCAGGTCTTTACCCATTTTCTATATCAATAACAAAAGTTCTGTTATTAGTTATTTAAAGTAGAATCAGCATTTGTGATGAGATCAAGCTACATGAGTCTTTGTCGGGAATTTGTTTTTTGGAGATACAGGCCAAAATAAGATCACTTCATCACATCACTTCATGACATCTCTTGGTGTTGCGATTTCCATAATTTTTGAACTACAGATGTATCAGCATGCGGTTTCACAGCAGTAATGCTGAGATTGTGCTCTTTTCAAATCTGTAAGAAACATTTTTTTGACCGGGGTCGACAAACGGCTCATTTAGCTTGATCGCATCACATTCGTTTGGGGGAGTTCTGCAAAAATGTCACAGCTTTCCAACCAAATCTTACAAAACTACAATATGAACCTGTTATAGTGACATTGTGCACTGCGTGAAACTGACAGTCATGTACATAAAGCTGAGTTTCCATATCCAACCTGGCCTTCTGATAGTTAGGCACAAGTTACAAGAGTCAGTTAGGAGTGTTTGGTCATTAGACGCTGTGGCACCATGGCAGGAATATAGGTTTTCCCTGCTATTTTGAAACGTTTTCAATTCCAATTCACCAATTCGTATTTTCAGATACATCCAAGAATGATTTCAGATCCTTTTTCCAAAAGCAATTGAATCATTTATCATTCGGTTCCAAAGTTTGGTCCCATCCCAAGGACGAAGCAATAATGGTAAAGCGCCTTGCTCAGGAGCGCAAGCACCATGTTCCCACGGTCAGGATTCCAACCCATGTACCACGGCACACGAGTCGAACACCATAACCATTGGACCCCAGCACCCCGCTTTTAGACTGCTGTCTGCCTTTGCGATTGATCAACCCTGTCATTTCCGGTAGGCATGTATTCCTTGATATTTATTTTTTGGATATTCATTATGTGTGGTTTATTTACAGGTGGAAGGTCTCGTGCAGATCTTCGGTATCTTCACAGCAGCAAATACAGAGGCTGGGCTACGGAAATCTGCACTGGAACAGATAGCCATCATCCTACAAGGTCTCACAACATTCTCCGTATTCAGAATCAAATGGAAGTTAATATAGTAATGTGTGAAGATCTCTGCTTGATTCAGTAACCTTTAAATGAGTATAGTGGTGTTCCCTAACGTGGCGCACTTCGACATTAGCCCGACTTTCCACATGCAGTGTTGCCAAACTTTTTTGTTGCCAAACTTCAAATTCATTCAGTGAAATACTGGTACATTTACCTTATTAATGCTTGCTATTTAACCTCTGTGAACAATTTCGGTTTCATGAAATTTAATCCGAAATTCTAAAATGGTGGTGTCCGGAAATTGGGCACAGATCGGCTGAGTGTTCCCCAACGTGGCACACTTCAATAAATCTTGGAAAATTCCAAATTAACATTAAAGAATTTATTTAAAGTTGATAAATTCTGATAAACAATTATTATCTCTACTTACATACACAACTAGAAGTTTGTCAGCAAATTAGTTTCTATTTTGGGGGGACATTTTCAAAGGGTTCACTGTGCAAATCGGAAAAAAATCACTCCGAAATAAATTTTTCTTCTAACTTTGTAACAGGAAGATAAACTTGTGATTTAAAAATGGAAGTGTTTAGAACTTGATGAAATTTCTCTTTTTGTGCAATTTCAGTTAAAACTTTTAATCTAACTAGGCCCTACAGGCGGTAATTTCAAAGTGCGCCACGTTGGGGGCCGCGCCACATTAGGGTACATCAATAATATAACTTTTCTGTGGAGCATTCCACAGAGGGATTTGGTTCTCCCTGTGAAGTTAAGAATAATGGCATATTGTTTTCCTGCAGATGTCACTCTACACAAAGCTTTCTTATCGCAAGGTGGACTGGACAAGATTCTGGATTGCATGGTGAAGGCAACAACGGCGTCTACTGCTGAATCTGATCAGGATATGGTATGTGCTAAACACACTGCTGTGTGGCTGAGGATATTATTAGTTATCCCGCGAGCGCGAGTGGAACATGAAATAATGTAGTGCGTCTGTGTCCCACATACCACGAGGCCGAAAATTTTAATGTACAAAATTGCACCCATGGGCCCGATCCATTGTTTACACTGCTGTGTCATACAGAAAGGTGTATTGCCCAGTTCAAATACTGTAGGTGCAGTGTCATAGACCTTTTTGCAGATCGCGGAGTGCTGTGGCCTTGTGGTTTAGGGCACTGGATTCGTGGTCTGTGGGTAAAGCTGCGGGTTGTGGGTTCGAGTCCAGCCGGGGTCATGGTGCGTGTGCCCTTGGGCAAGGCAATTTGTCACCCATTGCTTCTCTCCACCCAGGAGTAAATGGGTACCTGTGAGGGCAGAGATGGTTATTGTGATTGATTTAGCTTGCATCAAGCTGTATACTCCCCAGGGAGCTGAGATGGTATTTGGAATGTTTAATTTGCCCAATGATCTGGGGTAATAATAATGTAAAGCGCTTTGATCTTTGTGTAAAGCGCTTTGATCTTTGTTAAAAGCGCAATATAAGAACCTGTTTTATTATTATTATTATTATTAAAACCCTACATGTATGTATTTTAACCCTTTGTAATTGATTGTGTTTATACAGCTTGGAATGATTCCAGCCTGTTTGTGTATTCTTCGCCATGTCTTACACGAAGACCCCTTACTACGACGTCAGTTTGCCCGTCAAGATTATATATACTATCTCTTGATTAGAGGTGAGTTTTTGGGTGCTTTGGCTGATCCCCCCCCCCCCCCATCACCCTTTCGTTCCATATAATTTTTTCCAATTTGTCCCCCCCCCCCGTGTTTTTCAGAACAAGAGTTCCCCGTGAATGTTTTTCTAAACTATTGAACCTGAAAGTTGAAACAAACACCATCCTTCTTTTTCATATACACCAAGCAGTACTTATTGCTATGGACATCAGATTTGAACCAGCCAGCCGATCCCGTAAGTGGGTGGTTGAGTGGTAAGACGTCTGCACGAGAAAGCAGGAGGTCGTGGGTTCGAGTCCCACCCAAGTGATTTTTTTCCAACTTTCACTCGACAGATAACACACCGAGTATGCAGTGTTTATATGTCGGTGAAGTAAGTAAAAGTAAAGTCTGTCGTGAGCCAACGTGGCTCATCAGGCTGGCGTTTATCTCCGGTTTCAGTAGCATGAAACGACTGAGAATATTTCTACTCCCCCTGAATGGGATGTTAGTCCATCGCAGGTTACTCCCCAGCTAATACTGGTACCCATTCATACTCCTGGGTGGAGAGGGGCAAGTGGGGGTGAAGTGGCTTGCCCAAGGACACAATATATGACCAGCAGCTGGATTCGAACCCCGGACCCTCTGATCATGAGTCACGAACCCTAACCACTAGGCCACACACTCCTCCATATGTCAGTGAAGGGCACAATCTAATTTGATTACGTTGGTCTTCCTCCGTGCAAACTATTGTTTATTTTTTTTATTTTAGGTGGTCTTCTATGCTACACTGACTGCAGGGCTCGGTACCATTTAGCCCACGTTGCAGTTTTATTGCTATTTGACGAGGTAGCTTGTTTATCTATCGCAGAGGCCCAACCAGTCAACCACTTCACTCTCCCCAAATGTATATCCCAGAAGTGAGTATGTTTTATTCTTAATATTACTAAGGGAATAAATGGACGTGTGCTCCGGAGGTTTTTATCACTCTGTTTAAGACAGCTTAGAGTCCGGGTGCTGATAATTACCCGACCAATACCTTTTCGGTAAAAAATATCAAATAATTAGTTCAAAAAATCCCGATTTTGTTCAACAAGTTAACTTCATGCTTTTTGAAACATCCCTCTAGCAAAATAATGGAGTGTTCAGCTGGCGAGTAAGATGTAAATTACCATTTTATGGAGATTGACGCGCGCATAGCATGTTCTGCGCGATGTCGCGCAGAACGCACCTGGGGCGTTGCGTTTTGAATTTAGAACTATAAAATTCTGACTCGCTGGTAGTGTTGCGCATGCCTACGTGAGGATTGCGAATGTTCAACCAATGAAACGGTAAGAGGCACTGGATTTTTAGGAGTCCACATTTTATTGTGACACTGGAAAAGTGTTTAAGACCAGCTAGCCATGTCTTTATCATCCGTTTAAGACCAGCCACGTGACAGGCTCTCGACCAATAGGAATAGCTAAACTGTCTGAGGTATTTATGAATAATATAATAATAATAATGCAAAGGATCAATTAAACACATCTTGATGGCATGATTAATTGTTGATTCATTTTTGGTAGATACAAGCTTCCTTTCAGATGTCAGACCACCCCTTCTCATAGCTCCTATCGGATGGAGGATTCATCCGCAGATGACTCTCTGAACAAATCGTCTGTTGCATGGAAACTGCTTAGGATTGCATGGAATGTTGCATGGCATGGTGGAGTAGAAGGACTAATGGACAAGATCAAGTCTGGAGCACTCAAGGAGTCAGTTGCCAGGTAATTCCTTTGAAAATATCTTACAATGGTAGAATCAAATTGTTTGGAGTTCGTCAACTCTTTGACTTTTGGTGTTTTTTTATCAAAAAGTATGTATTAATTTGAATAATGTCTTTAAGCTATTATAAACCTGACGTTTAAAAAAAGTTAGGGGTTTAGTCACCTATAATATCCTTTTCCTTTGGCTCCGTAACTTCTTGCAAACTGTGTTTATCTCGCCCCAGGGCGAGTTTGCCCCGTTTTACATTAAAATGTAATTCTCATTTATCAAATGAGAATTTATTCCAATGTAGAAATAAGTCCTTCTTGTTCTTTATCCCTTATTTCCATTTCTAGTTTCAACTCCCGCCTAGCTTTAACTGCGGAGGACCAATTGTTCCTGAAATGTAGTCATGTACCAACAAGTCTCAATCAGTGTTTGCTGTCAGTCTGTGATGCCCCCTCACATCATGCTGTGAAGGTAGAAACATAAAGTATGAGTATTTAGTCATTTTAAAGCTATATTCCATCATTTGCAGCCATCCAAAAAAGTAACTGGCGTATTATTGTTGAAAAAAACATACTTGGTTGAAAGATAGTAAGTGGACTAAACTCCCTGTGAAATTAATCTTTCTGGCAAGCTATCATTTTGAAATAATCAACAAAAGAAGGCATTTAAATTAGTAGTTCGTTTTGTTATTCGGCGCAGCGGGCGCAAAGCATTGGCATGACGCACAGGTGCGTGCGGTTGCTATAATTCGTCGGATCAGTGCGCCACATCACGTAGCTGCAATCGGCTCAGTGAGAACGTGTCTCGGACGCTGAATTCAGGCCCAATTCAAAACATGATTCAGCAACTTTTGATTTGAAATTGAGATCCTAGAATGCTGTTTTTCTCAGAATATACAGCTGAAGCTGAGCTGAAACTTCATCAGGTTAGTTGTTCAGTATCCTTCATTAGATTTTGAACACTTTTGTTGCTTCAAATGAACAAAATACAAATTACAAATGATGGACTATATCTTTAAGTCGGGATTAGATTAATGGAAATGAAATGGTCAGTACTTTTCTTGTTTTTGTTTTGGTGTCATATGTTTACACTAACATTACCCAATAATTTTCACAGAAAGTATCTATTTTCTCACGCTACTACTGATAGCACAAAGTATTGTGACCGACTGGTTATATATTCTAGACATTAGGATCATCTATGATCTGCAAGTAGTCATACAACTAAAAAAGAAACGTCTTGATGGTACCAATATATCAAACATTTTGGTTGTTTTTGCTTTCTCCAAAGCCCCAATGCTCAAGATTTTTATTTTAATCAATTGCAACGCCAGGCATTACTGGCGAGAAATATGTGGGAAGATATCAGACAATGGAACTTCTTCAAACCACCAAAAATAAACAAATCAATTCCAAATCGATTAGTTTCATCAAGGGCCGGGTGTTACCGACCAGAGAATGTACGAAAATATAACAACGGAACTTTCCAAAACCCAAAAAACAGGGCAGAGCATCTTTTGGGGTTTTGCATTATACTGGAAAAATGGCAGTAGTCCAGTAAGATTATACTAGAAGAAAATAACAATGGATCTGTATTATATTGGTGCATTGTTTGCTCGCTCGTACCCTGCAAACAGGATGCTGGGATACTCTGATGAATTCACCCTTTGATTGGTTGGATTTTGCGTGACCTATGACCTGCGCGTCATCACGGTCATGACTCTGCAAGGTTTGAAACGGCCGTTAAGACTGATTCATTACTCTTTTATTCCAGTTTAGAGATGTTTTTTCTTTTCATTGAAAAGCATAATGATGCAGGAAATTCTGTAAAACTTGTCTGTGTTGTAAATTTACAATTCCCATCACTTGCTCAGGCTCCGTTTCAAATCACGAATGGTCGGATTGCATTATGCAACGCTCAAAATTTTGTCCACTTGGTCCGCAATGAAACAGAAATCACATCCCGTATGGAACGTGTGCATTTCTATGGGAAGTTTTTCGGATAGCATTTGCGCACATTGTTTAACTGCGGTCTTGAACAGCTGCAGCCAGATGCTTTATACATAGGTCATAGGCCACTTCCTTCACAAGATTCTGTGAAGCTCATCAGCGTATCCCAGCGTCCTGTTTGCAGAGCGGGGGGTACGAGGGAACATTGTTTGTAGCTGATACTGACTTACTATTGTGAATGACTCGATGTTGCTTTTTTTTCAGGTGAGTTTGTGGAGACTGTCTGGCTGGCTATTGACAAATATGTTGACGCATAATGGAATGGATACCAACAAGGCCTGTCCAGATATCACACAGTTGCTACTACAGCTAGATTTCAAGACGGCTCTGGCCAGGTACGCAGAATTCACCCACAGCAGTCAACGATTGATTTGTTATATCATGCCATTAACTCTTTCAGTGCCAAAGTCGTACATGTACAAGGTATATTTGTTAGTCCGAAATTGCCAACCTTGTACATGTACGGGGTAATGTTCGTACTTAAAGGGAATATACAACATTTGCAAACATCGGAAAATAAAACTACCAAGTTTTTGCGAAATACCTTAATAGGATGTTGGTAAATGACAGTTTAAAGCATCCTGTAAAATTATGGCACCTGGTATACTGTCATTTTCAAGAAAAGTGGTATTTTTGTATCAATTTCCAACGCTGATCGGCCGATCAGCGTAGGAAACAACTGGCTTTTTTTTCAAATACTGGCCCCAATTGACTATTGCACTTGTCTGCAATCGATTACAAACCTATGAACGGGTACGAGCCAGCTAGACTGGTTCCCTGACCTTACAATTCCCCAATGTATGTAAACTGCTCTGTTTCTTCTTATATGGAGTCAGGGAACCAGACTACAGGAAAATGATCGTTTTTCTTGGTTTTTATAGCATTTTCGAACCCAAAACCTCCAAAAAGTCAGTGTAACTATATTTGCTTTATATTTCCAACCCCCCAATTCCATCCATTTCTGAAAATTACAGCAAAAGCAAATGATGTATATTCCCTTTAAACTTGCCAAACCTCGTACATGTACGAGGTAGAGTAAGCATGTTATCACAAGGGGGCGCTCTCGCTCTTTCTAATAATATCATTTTCATTCAGGTACGACCCGTATTTATTTGTTTCATTCGAGTTCTTCCGAGAGGGCGCAGCACTGACACTCGTATTTTCTGCAAAAAGTGCAGAATTCCCCTGTGTGCAGGACAGTGTTTCAGGGTGTATCACTATGTACGTGACTTCTGTTGACTTTCCAATATACCAAGGATATACCAGAGAGCAACAACAACAAATTTATTGAGTAAAACTTATTTACTTGTTTTTTTTTACAGAATTTTGAACAATTAAAAAAAAACGTTCGAAGTTGGGTACTTTAGGGTTAAACTTTTTAAAATTTCATGGGCACTGAAAGAGTTAAGTTCCATAATACCTTGAGTGAACATTAATAAATGATAAAACTATACATTTGTTTATCTTGTTTCTCTATAGATTCATTGGCATAGTGCCAGTCAGTGTAGATGACAAGATACTACTGACTGAAGTACTTTCCTTCTTGATGCTGTTAATGAAGTCACTGGCCCTGAATCCTTCTTGCTTAGACTTCCTTCACTGGCTAGGCAATGCTGCCTGTATGCCCACATCTATCCTGATTGGGCTTCTGAACCAAACCAACAAGCCTGGTGACGCTGAGGTAGACAGGCATGATCATCAGAGACAGGGGGAGGTTGGATCCTCAGTACAAAGAATGCTACATAAACAACTCGTCACATTCTTTGGTTCATATGTGCAATGTCTGCCTCTGTCAAGTGAAGCATGGTAAGAAATTGTTCCTGCCTGAAAAGGTTTCTTAAAGATACAATGAGCTAGATGGGCTATTGTTATTATTATTATTATTATTGTTATTATTAATCATTTCTGGTAATGAAACCAAGGATTCTTCAAAAGCGCTTTAGGCACTGTAGCTCGCAAGCCTGAAGAAACCTGTAGAGAGAAGACAGTGAGAAGAAGTTACAGTTTTAGAGATGAGAGGAAAAGCCCAGAAGAATATTCTGGGGAAAACCCACGGAATCAGGTAGGGACTGAAAACCCAATCCACACATTGGCCCAGGCGGGATTCGAACCCGGGTCACAGCGGTTGAAGAAAATTCTGGGGAAAACCCACGGAATCAGGTAGGGACTGAAAACCCAATCCACATATTGACCCAGGCGGGATTTGCCAACCCCGGTCACAGCGGTGGAAGGCAGGGAAATTACCGCTATGCCAGCCTGACTAACAGCATATATGCATTTTCTTGAAATGTGGACATGCTTAAGGATAAAAGATGTGTGTAAAGATGTGATTTAAAATATCTTTCTGTGTATGTTCTTGAAACTGAACAGACTCTTGTCAGGAAGTGGTTGTGTTTCTGTTGCATTGTTTGTTTCCTCCCCCCCCCCCCCCCCCCCCCCCCGACTACCTCCCTCCGCTTCGCGTTGGGGCTGGTACCATATTTCAATAGGGGGCGCTGTTCAAATCTGACAATTATTAACACTAGATTACAGAATGGTGTACCGTATTTAGAACAGACAGACATTATACCAGTATAAATTTTTTTGGGTGTCACAGCAGGGGGGGGGGGGGGGGGGGGGGTTCCGACTTATTTTTTAGGAATTTGTTTGGAAAAAAAAATTTGGACAGAGCAGGGGGGTTTTTGACCTCCAAAACCCCCCTCTCTGGATCCGCGCCTGCATGCTGTATTTGTATACTATACAATCAAGCTGAATAGTGCTCTGGACCAAACCAACATGAAAATAACTACTTGTAGCACATTTTTGTATTGATAGTTTGATTGTTTTGAAAGTGATGATTGAAAAGAAACACTTGTTAATCAATAAAACTATATTGTAGCAAATGCTAAGTTTACACAATTTTTACCACTCAATTGAAAAAAAAAACCCAGAATCTATGTTTCAATTTGAAGTTGTTGTTCTTGTCACCAGGAGGAGAAAGACAGGTTACTTAGGGGGATCCCTGGCCCATGGATTACTACTGAGTCTCAACTCAGCAGATGCTGCTCACTTCTATGATCTACCATCTCTTGAGAACACATTGCATTCTCTTGTTCATGTTACTGCTAGGTAAGATCACTTAAAAATCAACATGTATCACTTTTATCATTCGGTATTGCAGCACACATATGTGTATGAAAGCAACACTTCACTTTGTGTGAATTTCTACTACTTTAAAGGAAATGTACATCATTGGTTTTTGCTATAATTTTCAGAAATTAAGTATTTGAGGGGTTAGTATAATAGATCAAATATTGTTACACTGACATGTTTGAAGTTTTTGTGTTCGAAAATGGATTAAAGAAGCTTTGTGTTTTGTTGATGCCATTAAATGGAACTTGTCATTACAAGCACTTGTATTTTGTCTTATTTGTTCCATAAGACCTGGCTGGAGTTTGGACTGGAAGGATGGTGATAGTCTCTCACTATGTCAGCACCTGCTGAATTCATTGTTAGAGGTAAATGCACAATGAACAGCCAACTTGGCCTTTTAGAAGCCAAGTCCACACAACGTCGCCTCTACCTGGTTTATGTGGAACTCTTTTGTTCGGAAGTCCACACAGTGAATGCTATGCCTACCCACAAACACCCGCAACAAACACGGAATAGATCAGTCAACCAAGTTCCTGACTGACCAATCAGAAGGCTTGGGTGACTCCGCAATGGAATCAAGTAATATTGATTTCAAAATGTCCAACTTTTTTGTTTTGAGGAATGGACTGTCTGACCCCCTGTCCCCTTGCTATTTGTCTTTCCCTTAGACTGTAGAGGCCCTAACAACAATAATCATGGTTAGCCCTAGGCAATAAGACACAACAAAACCAAATATATGTGTGAAAGTATTGTTAACCCTAACTCCCCAGCATGATTTACTAGGAACCATACCCATCCTGGCAAACTCCAACACCATATGGGAAACTGTGCACACACATATTTCTGACTTAGTTTCTGGAGGTGTGCCAACCCAATGTAAAAGACTGTCAGTTTAGGGGTACTGTACCCATCCTGACAGATTCCAACAAAACATGCTGTTGGGGTTTGATGGGTTGAGTTCTGTTAGGGTTAATGTGATACACAGTTGATAAGGCTGTGCTCTAGCCTGTACCTCCTTCATTCTAACCACAAAGTTTATGTTTATGCGCTTCTTTTCTTGTAGGTGATATCAGCTTTCCATGTTGGCCGAGGAGGAACTGCCATGTCCTACATGGGCAAAGGAGTTACAAAAAGTGCTACTGTATGTTTGTGCCATTTAGCTCATGAGATGGCCAACAGGGCACATCAAAAGGTCAGCTTCTTTAATTTAGGAATATTATTATAGTGAGTTTTCAAGTTAGTTTGAAAATCAGTTGTAAGACAGATGAAATTAGTTCCTGTACAACCCCAAAGGGCTGTAACCTAAATGGAAGGGACAATAACAAACATGTTGCTTCCAAAACATAGAGAAGCTATTGAGATCCACAAACATGACACTGTAGCACAAGATATTGGCTTTTTCATAGGCAACATATGGCATTCAATAATACCAAGTTGCAACACTCATGGCTCACAGCCAGCTGACAAGCCTGAACGAGCAGGACACTCAGAGGGCATCCCTCAAAGGTTGAATAACAATTGCCAGTGCATTTTGGAATGTTCACGTTCATGTTACTGTATCATTGGTTTTTATTCAGAATTGGTCAACGGAGTGGCTTTACACAAAGCAAAGACAGGACGGACTGGCTGAGATTGGACTAGAATGGCTGATACCACTCTGGTCTTATAGGGATCCAGAGGTAAGGATGCAAGAAGCTCATTATGTCCATACGGGGAACCAGGGGTGAGTTATAAGACCGTGATGTGAGTTATAAGACCATCATTGCCGTATGGGGAACCAGGGGTGAGTTACAAGACCATGATGGCCATACAGGGAACCTGGGGATGAGTTATAAGACCATGATGGCCGTACAGGGAACCTGGGGTGAGTTATAAGACCATAATGGATGTACAGGGAACCTGAGGTGAGTTATAAGACCATGATGGCCACACAGGGAACCCGGATGAGTTATAAGACCATGATGGCCGTACGGGGAACCCGGGGTGAGCTGCATTCGGCTCAGTGAGAACTTGTCTCGGCCGCTGAATTCAGGCCCAATTCAAAACATGATTCAGCAACTTTTGATTTGAAATTGAGATCGTAGAATGCTGTTTTTCTCGGAATATACAGCTGAAGCTAAGCTAAAACTTCATCAAGTTAGTTGTTCAGTACCCTTCTTTAAATTTTGAGCACCTCTGTTGCTTCAAACGAACAAAATGCACAAATTACAAATGATGGACTATATCTTTAATTTGTCTTATTCAGGTCAGGGCAGCTGGGCTGGGCATAGCCACTGTGTTATCTTCCGTGGAATCTGGCCGTGTTACCATGACGAAGGGTTGCCAGCATCTTCCTGGTGGTTTGTGGGCCGTTGCATTTGGAGTGCTATTAGACCAGTCAGAGTGCAGCATCGTACGGCGCCAGGTATAAAATCTTGTTTAAATGTTATTCATATTACGGCAGAAATGTCCAGGCACAAGTAAAGCAGAAAAAAAGAACACACCAATATGATGAGAATAATGCAGCAAATTGAATTGTAGAATGGAAATACAACCATGTCATCCATTTTATATTGTTTGTAACTTACACTTTGAGAAGACATACTACGTACTTGCAGAAAGTATTGATAATGAATGTACTTGCCTATTGCTAGGCTGCATTGCTGCTTGTTAATCTGATGAGTGAACGTCTTCCCGAGAGAGATACGGACAGCCTGAACAGCAGGAAGGAGACATGGATTGGACCTTTTGTGCATGATCAACAGACACAGGTACATTTAATCTGTACAGGAATTGATTCAGGAGAGCTTGTCCAACTTGATATATTAACATATGTAATGCGATCAAGCTACATGTGTCGTTTGTCGACCCTGGTCAAAACATTTTTATTACAGATTTGAAAAGAGCACAATCTCAGCATTACTGGTGGAAAAACTGCATGCTGATGCCCTCTTTAGTTAAAAAGTGATGGAAGTCGGAACACCAAGTGATGTGTTTCAGTGATGGGATGAAGTGGTCCTATTTGGCCTGTATCTCCAAATAAAAATTCCTGACAAACGACTCATTTAGCCTGATCGCATCACATACGACTCTCTGAGATCTCTCTTCCAATTCCTCCGTATGGACTTTACTTTTTATTTTGGGTTGCTGAATACTCCTGTGTGCTTTAATTTTACATGTGGTAAGGATGGGCAATATTCTGGAACGTGACTGGGTCCCACAAAACAAATTGGCCTATGATGACTGGTTTATTATTCTTTATGCGTGCTGCACGATGATGTACATGTGAACATCTGTAGCAGAGCCCTTTGATGTTAAAATTTACTGCTGAACCAAATTTGAACCTTCCTGAACCAATACAGAAGCAGAACTTGAAGCTTGACTTGCAATACTAAGGCTAGTGTTTGTGTATAACTGTAGATGAGGATAAAAACACAGTTTTGAAAGCAGTAATGTCATGTGAATTTGAGACCGGCTCCACAAAAAAGGGTATTAAGTCGCACTGAGCATTATTGTGTAATGGCCCGCTCAACATTGAGAGGGTGAAAATGTCAAAATATGATTTTCGTTTTGTATCATGAATGACATCATAGATACCTACACTTTCAGGTTTCATTCACAGAAATGTTGATTTTGATGAACAAAGTGGAAAAACAACCATTTTCTGTGCATCGTTCTGTTGTTCTACAACAAAGCCAGCTATTTCAAAGCCTGTTATCTCAGTTGTGTAATTTGAACTCCAAGGAAGTAATTCATATGCAAATACATCATATCTCCAGATTGGTAGGGACTATGGAGCTCTATTATATACCAACTGAAAGCTTACATTGTGGGCTTTCGAACCATGTAAATAACTCAATTAAACTTTTGGGTCAAAAACTGACTTTTTCGATGATGCCGTCAATGGAAAACGTTGAAGTTTTGGGGGCATTTTGTAAAAAATCTAAAATTGTTCTTTTGTCACTGGATACTGGATGTAATGAGTTGAACTCTTCAGGGAATTCAATTCTGGCCTCTAGGCACCTCGTGTGAACTTTTGAGCAAATTTGGTGAAGTTGGATTTTTCGGTCAAAAACTGACTTTTTTTATGATGCCGGCTATGGAAAACGTTGAAGTTTTGGAGGCATTTTGTAAAAAATTTGAAATTTTTCTTTTCCAACTGGATACCGAATGTAATGAGTTGAATTCTTCAGGGATTTCAATTCTGGCCTCTAGGCACCTCGTGTGAACTTTTGAGCAAATTTGGTGAAGTTGGATTTTTGGGTCAAAAACTGACTTTTTTTTATGATGCCGGCTATGGAAAACTTTGAAGTTTTGGGGGCATTTTATAAAAAAATCTAAACATTTCTTTACTCACTGGATACCGAATGTAATGAGTTGAACTCTTCAGGGATTTCAATTCTGGCCTCTAGGCACCTCGTGTGAACTTTTGAGCAAATTTGGTGAAGTTGGATTTTTGGGTCAAAAACTGACTTTTTTCATGATGCCGGCTATGGAAAACGTTGAAGTTTTGGGGCATTTTGTAAAAAATCTAAAATTGTTCTTTTCTCACTGTATACCAAGTGTAATAAGTTGAACTCTTCAGGGATTTCAATTCTGGCCTCTAGGCACCTCGTGTGAACTTTTGAGCAAATTTGGTGAAGTTGGATTTTTGGGTCAAAAACTGACTTTTTCGATGATGCCGGCTATGGAAAATGTTGAAGTTTTGGGGCATTTTGTAAAAAATCTAAAATTGTTTTTTTCCCACTGGATACTGAATGTAATGAGTTGAACTCTTCAGGGAATTCAATTCTGGCCTCTAGGCACCTCGTGTGAACTTTTGAGCAAATTTGGTAAAGTTGGATTTTTGTGTCAAAAACTGACTTTTTTATGATGCCGGCTATGGAAAACGTTGAAGTTTTGGAGGCATTTTGTAAAAAATCTGAAATTTTTCTTTTCCAACTGGATGCCGAATGTAATGAGTTGAATTCTTCAGGGATTTCAATTCTGGCCTCTAGGCACCTCGTGTGAACTTTTGAGCAAATTTGGTGAAGTTGGATTTTTGGGTCAAAAACTGACTTTTTTTTATGATGCCGGCTATGGAAAACTTTGAAGTTTTGGGGGCATTTTATGAAAAAATCTAAACATTTCTTTACTCACTGGATACCGAATGTAATGAGTTGAACTCTTCAGGGATTTCAATTCTGGCCTCTAGGCACCTCGTGTGAACTTTTGAGCAAATTTGGTGAAGTTGGATTTTTGTGTCAAAAACTGACTTTTTTTATGATGCCGGCTATGGAAAACTTTGAAGTTTTGGAGGCATTTTGTAAAAAATCTAAAAAAAATTCTTTTCTCACTGTATACCGAATGTAGTCAGTTGAATTCTTCAGGGATTTCAATACTGGCCTCTAGGCACCTCGTGTGAACTTTTGAGCAAATTTGGTGAAGTTGGAATTTTGGGTCAAAAACTGACTTTTTGTTATGATGCCGGCTATGGAAAACGTTGAAGTTTTGGGGGCATTTTGTAAAAAATCTAAAATTGTTGTTTTCTCACTGTATGCCGAATGTAATGAGTTGAACTCTTCAGGGATTTCAATTCTGGCCTCTAGGCACCTCGTGTGAACTTTTGAGCAAATTTGGTGAAGTTGGATTTTTGGGTCAAAAACTGACTTTTTCGATGATGCAGGCTATGGAAAACTTTGAAGTTTTGGGGGCATTTTGTAAAAAATCTAAAATTGTTCTTTTCTCACTGTATACCGAATGTAATGAGTTGAATTCTTCAGGGATTTCAATTCTGGTCTCTAGGCACCTCGTGTGAACTTTGGAGCATATTTGGTGAAGTTAGATTTTTGGGTCAAAAACTGACTTTTTTTATGATGCCGGCTATAGAAAACGTTGAAGTTTGGGGGCATTTTGTAAAAAATCTAAAAGTTTCTTTTCTCTCTGGAAACCTGAATGTAATGAGTTGAACTCTTCAGGGAATTCAATTCTGGCCTCTAGGCACCTCTTGTAAACTTTTGAGCAAATTTGGTGAAGTTGGATTTTTGGGTCAAAAACTGACTTTTTCGATGATGCCGGCTATGGAAAACGTTGAAGTTTTTGGGGCTTTTGTAAAAAATCTAAAAGTTTCTTTTCTCTCTGGAAACCTGAATGTAATGAGTTGAACTCTTCAGGGATTTCAATTCTGGCCTCTAGGCACCTCGTGTGAACTTTTGAGCAAATTTTGTGAAGTTGTATTTTTGTGTCAAAAACTGACTTTTTTTATGATGCCGGCTATGGAAAACGTTCAAGTTTTGGGGCATTTTGTAAAAAATCTAAAAAAAATTCTTTTCTCACTGTATACCGAATGTAATGAGGTGAATTCTTCAGGGATTTCAATTCTGGCCTCTAGGCACCTCGTGTGAACTTTTGAGCAAATTTGGTGAAGTTGGATTTTTGGGTCAAAATCTGACTTTTTTGATGATACCGGCTATGGAAAACGTTCAAGTTTTGGGGCATTTTGTAAAAAATCTAAAATTGTTCTTTTCTCACTGTATACCGAATGTAATGAGTTGAACTCTTCAGGGATTTCAATTCTGGCCTCTAGGCACCTCGTGTGAACTTTTGAGCAAATTTGGTGAAGTTGGATTTTTGGGTCAAAAACTGATTTTTTGATGATGCCGGCTATGGAAAACGTTCAAGTTTTGGGGCATTTTGTAAAAAATCTAAAATTGTTCTTTTCTCACTGTATACCGAATGTAATGAGTTGAACTCTTCAGGGATTTCAATTCTGGCCTCTAGGCACCTCGTGTGAACTTTGGAGCATATTTGGTGAAGTTGTATTTTTGTGTCAAAAACTGACTTTTTTTATGATGCCGGCTATGGAAAACGTTGAAGTTTTTGAGGCATTTTGTAAAAAATCTAAATTTGTTCTTTTCTCGCTGTATACCGAATGTAATGAGTTGAACTCTTCGGGGAAATCAATTCTGGCCACTAGGCACCTCTTGTTAACTTTTGAGCAAATTTGGTGAAGTTGGATTTTTGTGTCAAAAACTGACTTTTTCGCTGATGCCGTCTATGGAAAACGTTGAAGTTTTGGGGCATTTTGTAAAAAATCTAAAATTGTTCTTTTCTCACTGTATACCGAATGTAATGAGTTGAACTCTTCAGGGATTTCAATTCTGGCCTCTAGGCACCTCTTGTGAACTTTTGAGCAAATTTGGTGAAGTTGGATTTTTGGGTCAAAAACTGACTTTTTGCGATGATGCCGGCTATGGAAAACGTTGAAGTTTTGGGGGCATTTTGTAAAAAATCTAAAAGTTTCTTTTCTCTCTGGAAACCTGAATGTAATGAGTTGAACTCTTCAGGGATTTCAATTCTGGCCTCTAGGCACCTCGTGTGAACTTTTGAGCAAATTTGGTGAAGTTGGATTTTTGTGTCAAAAACTGACTTTTTTTATGATGCCGGCTATGGAGAACTTTGAAGTTTTGGGGCATTTTGTAAAAAATCTAAAATTGTTCTTTTTTCACTGTATACCGAATGTAATGAGTTGAACCTTTCAGGGATTTCAATTCTGGCCTCTAGGCACCTCGTGTGAACTTTTGAACAAATTTGGTTAAGTTGGATTTTTGGGTCAAAAACTGATTTTTGATGATGCCGGCTATGGAAAACGTTCAAGTTTTGGGGCATTTTGTAAAAAATCTAAAATTGTTCTTTTCTCACTGTATACCGAATGTAATGAGTTGAACTCTTCAGGGATTTCAATTCTGGCCACTGGGCACCTCGTGTAAACTTTTGAGCAAATTTGGTGAAG